AGACTAATTAGCTTCACAGAAAAAAGTGTCAGAGTCTACACCTGCACTAGTACTAGCGCTCTGTAAACTAATTAACTCTGCCATAAGACAGTATTGCCCCTGACAGTATTATCTCATGGCAGAGTACTTTAATGTGCTGAAACACGTGTGGACACTGACTGAGGGCGTAAATAGCACCTGGTCAACCCAGCCCACCAGAGGCCTACAATGCCCCAGCTCAAATTGCTGCTGTCCCAGGCACACATGTAGACGGGGACCCACTACTGACCTTCCTCCATCATGGAGAATGACCATTTACCTTTACTCCTTGTTTCTGATCTTTTAACCAGTTTTTGATCCTCTAATCCCATGACAACTTTTCCCATGCTGTTAGTATGTAACCTTCTCAAAAGTTTCTTTAAAGCCCAAATATGATATATCAACTAGATCCCCCTTGGCCACACGCTTGTTAAAACCCTCAAAGAATACCAGCAGATTAGTGAGACAGGAATTTCCCTTTACAAAACTCACAACTCTTCCCCAGAATATCATTTATCCAGGCAACTACTAATTTTATTCTTTATCTATGTGAATGTTAATTTTATTTTATTTTCAAGGTTAGTTTAACAGAAACTAGGTTTGAAAATGTTGATCAATGTAAAAAGTTGATTTTACATTAAACCAACCTTGAGGTAAGAAATATTAAGCTAGCCTAGAGGTAAGAAATATGCCAACATTTCTTATTAAGTTATACCAATATGTTAGTCAGACATGTCTAGAAGTGTTTTCTCAAGGTAAACATGCCATTTCTGGTCTACACTTGAGTAAATTTTTCTGTTATATTATTTGACTAATAAATGCCAGGTTGGCAGCTCTGGAAGACAAGTTCTTCTATTTATCCATATAATTGGTACATCAGAATGAAATTCACCAACACACTTCTCATACTGTACCCCTACCTCTACTTTAGCTCCAAACAGAGGGAACTTCACTAAGTGCCTTTTAAATAACCAAATGACTCTCCCCAAAAGTACTGCTGTGGAAGCTAGTACCCAAATGGTCCCAATATACACGTACTTCCCATTAGTATCACAGGACTCTGCTTGCATGTTGGTGGTATTGCTGCTGGAGAGGGTGCAGTGACACTTGGCATAGTGGGCAGTATGCTTATGTTTGCTTTTCTAAGCAGAGAAATGGCAAAATTTAACCTGCTCTGCACAGCTGGTTAAGAGTTTTCTTGTTTGCTTGTGTTTAGTTTCACTGTTTCAATGATACCTCACATTTTAAAAGATTTTTTCTTTTTGCTTATTTACCATCTTAGCCTAGGTATCTAAAGTAAAGATTAAAACACCCACTTCTTTATATCCACCATGCTGGTTCATTCCCACAGAAGTTTACTATCCACCTCCTAATCAGGCCTCATATTGCTCATATTACAAAATCTAAAACAATCTCCCTATGTGTAGTTGTGATTTGTGAGGATTAGAAGCAAATGTGCCAAATGGGTACATATATGACAGAAGTCAATTTTTCATTCACCAAAAATAATCTAGCTTTATAAAAAAAAATAAAAAATGATAGAATTAGTCTGAGGATTTTCTGGCTTTCCTTTGCTCTAAGAAGGCCAGAGAAACCATCATAAAATATACATTCAGCTTACATGAAAGAAAGCTGGATGGAAGCTTTATGGAACTCTTGAAAAGACTTTAATTTGGAAAGAGATATTCAATATTTCAAATATGAACTACTAAAGTTCATAGTTACAAGCTCAGTATTATCTTTAATGTGAAAAAAAATTGTTTGGCTAAAACAACTGTCACTAGTATTTTTTAAAAGCCATCTGTTTCTATATTCAGTTCTGAAAAAGGTTATGATAGAATTAACAGCGCTCAAACAAAGCCATTGTTTCTCCCATGATCATGGAATGAAACATAAGCAAACCAACTGTGGTACTTCTTGCTGACAGGAAGACATCAATGGCACATAGTTTTTCTTTTCTTGATAATGCTACCTACTACATTTGATACAAGTAAACCAAAAATAGGCTGGTTACCTTCTCTGCAAAGTTGCAGAGCTGTTCAATCCAAGTATTAATGTTATTCAATCACATCTGACTTCAAGTATGTAAATGATTCCATGTTTCCCCTACAGTCTTGGCGCTTCCTACTCCTTGACTCAACTCAGGTAGTCTTCTCCAGGGTCTACTTTGATGACCAAACAGTGAGCTTCAAAATTGCCAACTGCTGATCTTACTAACTGCATCAGCCACTTTGCTTTGCCTCGTTTCTATTCAGCTTTTTTTTCAACACTATTCCAATTGTTAAATGGTCAGAATACACAAAGTGACAGATTTAGTGATTCCTAGGCCATTTATATAACTGACTGCAACTCTGTTGTTGCAGTGAATCATGATTTATTTGTCTTGCATTGCAGCACATAACCTTTTAAATGCTTGAAAAAAATGCCAGCACCTCTTTAAAGTTTATATATGACTGCCCACCACCATTCCTCATGACCCAGGCTTTGAGAGACAAATGATAAAAACAAGCTGTGAATTCCACCCCGCTTCTCAGTCACTTCCTGTATTCATCATTCACACGTACTGTTTATACAGACAAGTATCCTAATCAAGAACCAATATGTTGTACAAAGTTCCTTCTTTTTTCTCTTGGACAGCAATATTTGTTTTCTTCCTTCATTTACTGACAGGTTCTCTCGACTAAACACAACACAGGTTGGTTTTAATCTTTACTAACTGACACGCTTTGACCTGTGCCATTATTAATGATTAACATTTAGTTATATTTGTTAAATCCTCTCCTACTTCCAAATCAACTTTTTACCTGGATGCCGTTTTCTGCCCATTTTCCACTCTCATCTTCAGATGTGCTTCAGTGCTTTCTCCTATACATGAAATTACCTAGTCCCACTCCAAATAAACTGGTTTTATTCTAATATGTATATTTGAGCCATCACTGTGACATGAGCCCCTAAGCACCTCATAACTTAGTTTTCTCACAAGGGACCAAAGTACTAGTAAACACAACTTTTTCTTGTAATAAACATAATTACAGAAAACAAGTTACACAGTCAGAATGAGATACAAGTCTCTTTAGAAGTAAAAGCTAAAAAAAGTTGATACACCTCATATTATACAGGGCACAGAATGCAAGAGAAATGGGCTATTATATCGTAAGTAAGAATCATGGGTGAGACTGTCTCATAAGGAATGGCATGAGAAGTTTTGCTGCACAGCTAACATACTCTGATGCAAAACCATTTCAATAGTGTAAGCCCCTTTCATGCTATACAGTTTCAGTATCATCATGATACAAAACAAACGTAAGCCAAATCTGATTGCAAAGAAATGCATCAGCAATATGTTCTGCATTTGTCAGGTCACTCTAGGATGCATTTCAAGACCTTTGTTCCAAGCATTGCCCTTGTATACACAAACATTTTTTCATGTGAATTTGCTGTGATACTTCTAAGGCAACCAGCTGTATGTGTAGAACACTTTAATTAACCACCAAAACTGGTTACATATTACAGAATTTACTTTCCACTATGAAGAATTCCAGGACTATAAAATAGGAATCCATAAGAAAGTGCATTCATATTAATGGCACAGGTTTCTAAAATGTTATTTTAGTTGAACAAAACTAAACATAATTCTGACAAAAAGCTATAGAAAAATTATATATCAACATCATGAAATTTAACACACGCATCCAAGATTAAGGCGTTAGAAGAGCATCTTTTGGTATCAGTGGTGTGGGAAAAGAACCTTCAGCATGGTAGAGTCTGCTACAATGAGAGAGAGACATGGAACAAATAAGAGAACCAAAAAAGGGGAAAAAGACCCAAAAATCTGTACTTCCAAACACGCAAACAATTTTCTTTAGCCTTTGTGTAACAAAGCTTAGCTCCCCTATTTAAAATGTAAACTAAATATTTAGATATCCGAGTGCTATAAACAGCCACCAATCAACACACAGACTGGTTGCAATAGATTCATATAATATAAACATTTCCACCATCACATTCCCAAACTGTTTTTCATTTTGGTTCCAGGAAGTACTAGTTGGAAGGGCAAAAAACTGTGCCTGCTTAAAATACAGGTGCTTCAGCAATGGATAACTGAAGCAGCTCCTTTTTTAAAGCAAAAAGTTTTTTTAAAGGTTATCATAAAACACCATGAACTACTTCAGATTTGGCACAAGTAGGTACAACTCCATCATCATATAGGAGGTACTGCAAAGCAAATTCATGCAATTTGTAAGCCACTGTGAGCCTTATAGGGTAGTTTAAAAACCAAATAAATTAATTAATTAATGTTAACCTACAACCAGATTTTCTTTTTTCAAATGAAAACAACTAAAGAAAAAATATATTCCTAGTGATGAAATAACAATGTAATAAAAAATGGATAGGTCATCTTCCAGTTTCTTTATTTTCAGGGAAAAAGTAATTGAACCAACAAGAGACTAGATACTAAAACACAGACTTAAAAGTCTAACAAGTAACTTAGACTCATCTTATTCTTGTTGGCCACACTTTTCTTAACACAAGCAAGCTTGAGAGAGAGAGAAAAAAAAAAAAAAGAGAACCTCCCCCCACAAAATACATCCTTACGTAACATTTTTATCCAGCCATTTAAAATGCTAAAGAGCTTTTTTGCTGAATAAAACAATTGTTCTAACATAGCCAATTAGACATTAAGCCTTATCAGAGAGACAACACCCTAAAACAGTTTGTATACAAAGCAGAATATGATATGCAAATTTTGCTATCTGGTAAAACTTGCCTCATACGCTAGCTCCTCCTCTCCAAAGCACATTCAGGGATGACCAATAAGAGAAAGAGCAGGTTGGTTTCTATGAGAATAAATAGATAATAGCAGCAGCGATGACTTCAGCAAATAATATTTCTTAGAGATTAATGGTTGGTTTAGTTGATCCGGTCGGAAACACACTGCATCATCATTACTCAAGTAAATAAACAACCTTCTACAAGCTTACCTAGTTCTGGGGGCAGCACGGTTAGGCGGTTTCCCTGGATATGAAGTTCCTTAAGCTGAGTGAGTTCACCGATTTCTTTAGGCAGTGATATCAGGTCATTGTCTCTAAGGCTCAGCTTACAGAGAATACAAAGTTGTCAGAACAATTTTCAGTTAAAATAAAGGAAAATAAAACAGAACTCTACTCTCTGCCCATTGCCTTCCCCCAAACAGTCAATTCTTCCAATTTATTTACAAGTACTGCAGATAAACAAGAAACGGGATCAGGTGTGGTGGGCTATTATTCCTTCAAAACAACCCCCCACGACTTCTCAAATTGACTAGATTCTACTTCTACAAGGGCTGTGAAAGTGAATTGATTTTCCAAGAATTTAGATAAATTACTTACTATCTGCAACTTTGTGAGCTTCCCGATATCTGGCGGCAGGATTTCAAAATCGTTGTCACTTAGATAGAGTGCACGCAGGGTGGCTGCAAATTAAACAGCAATATATAAACAGGGTGGCATATAACCCAACTGTTTGAGGTCTGATCAATAAAAGGGAGTCAGGTTTGATTAATAACCCTGACTTGGTGAAAAGCCTTTGACATACCCAGGGCTCACAATAATAACAAGCAGGTCAAACTTAGATTTACTGGCTTATTGTATTGTTGGTGAGTTCAGGAAAACATCTATATCTAAAAGGACTGACGCAATTAACAGTTTCTACTATAGTAAATTCTGGCAGGTTCTGGAGCACAGTTTCAATGCTGAGCTGTCAGAACAAGAGCCATTACTCTTTTCACCTCTGATTCCTATTTATTACCCAATTTATATCCAAAACATACAAAAAAAATAGACCGAGTTTTTGGAAAAAATTACGTTTATTTTTACTGCTAACAGAGCATAGTATAAGTGTAAAAAGACCTTAAGACTGGATAATAAAATACAAATACAGCTGAGCTCGAAATCATACCATTTATAATTTTTCATACATATACTCTCTCTCATCCTCCAGTAGAAGGGGGGAAAAGATGGCCCAGTGGAACTATTCAGCTCATTTTTATTCACATAGCATCATGGGTTTGCAAGATCCGTTGCAGAAATATTAAGACAAAGAGAGACAACAGTGAATACTCTGGAAGAGAGATGACTTGGGGGAGGGATCCCTTCCTCCTGCTTCAGGGAGCAGGTCCTGTGTTTCCTTTCACAAGTTTTTTCCTTGTTACCTGCATTGCATGTCACTGTTTTAAATTTTAGCTTTCTGATCATTAAAAACCATTATGCAGAAAAGAACATACAAACAACCAAATAAAACATTCTAGCATTTAAAATGCCAGAAATAAGGAAATGCCTATGCAAGCTTTCCAGCCATCCTGTATGTATGCATCACATGACAGTCTTTAGTTGCATGCTCATATAGCACATCATGTATGCAGGCAAACCTAATTTTGGCCTTTCTGAGAGCTGCACCTTACAATTTGAACATGGTTTTAACATGTTTTTTGGATGCATGCATTTACATATTATATAATTTATATATAGATATAAATGTACATGTCTACATACACACAAAAAGCTGTTAAATGTTTTCATAAAAAGCAATCAGAAACTTGTTCATTTTCAGATAGTCAATACACATCAAGGTGACGTTCTTTACCGTTCCACAAAGCATCTTGGGGTCTATGAAATTTTAGTATACGACTCAAAGAAATATAACCAAGAAGAAAGTTAATACTCCATTACTAACCAAGTCCTCCTATGTCCAATGGTGTCAGGTGACTGTATATCAATGATACATACTGCTGAGCTATGTAGAAATATTCAAGAGGGCCCAAGGAAGAATCACATATATATCTAAAATATTTGGTTAGAGTTTGGTCTCTATCAAATAAATTTTTCTTGCAGAATGCAACGCACAATTTCAAGAAGATGTATGGTTAAAAAAAAAAGTCTCTTACTCAGATAGAAGAAGTTTCCAGGCAGGGAAGTTTCATTTAAATTGTTGTAAGTCAAGTCAAGAACCTCCAAAGCTGGTAAAGAGCCAAATCCTCTAGGCAAAGTATTCAACCTATTCATACTGTTGACAAAGAGAAAAGACATGTATAGGATTACAGAAACACATCACATGGAGTACCCTAGTTGCATTTATTTCATCATAAACATAAATAACACATGTGGTCTGCACTTGTAAACTGGTGCTTGTAAACCAGTGTTAGACTACAGAGATTCCGACAAACGTTAATGCTAGGCAGTGCTCAAGTGCAACCTTGTAAAGGTATAAATGCTGATTAGCTAACAAAAGTAACGAGTCAAGGAAGAAATGGAGACACAAAACTAAAAGTAATACAGCAAATGAAGGAAAAATGCCAAGTGTGAGAACAGGGCTTGAGACGAGCGAACAGAACTCATTTTAGGAGGAGATTAAAGAAGGTAGGAGACATGCTGAACCAATGAAGCATAAAACACAGACTGGAGACGAAGTGAAAAAAAAACAAACAAACCAAAAAAACCTTGAAAGTGGAGCAGGTAGTTTGAAGGTGACAGTGACAACAGTATTACTGTTAACATTGTCAGTTCCTTTAAGAGGACCCTCACAAGTTTTTATGGGATTACTGTATTCAACTACTGCAATTAATTTTGATGACATTTTTACCATAAACTTAAATGAGATAAGGAACAGGTGTCAACTGTTTAACAGGGCAATCGCCTTAGGCATATAGGGATACTTACTGAACCAACATTTCACATTTCAGCATGAATGCCGATTTAACCACAAGAGATTTCCCTACCTGGTACATAAAGTTTACAATCCACCTACAGGCTATCTATAATAGGAATATTATTCTTTTCTCTCATTTCTTACACCCAAGGGCAAGATTCAAATACAGTTGTTCATGTTGACTAACATGTGAAAACATGCTGAGTCTGAACCTTCAATCAAACTATACATGGGCCAAGGTAAATCCATCACTGCTTTCTGTAATTCTTCTACTATGAACATGAATCTAGGTTTTTTTCCTCTGTAAACTTCCTCTGCAGGGAACAGCCAATAATTAATTATTAAATTTTCTGTACCGTGCTGTTGATTTTAATGTTTAACTATATGTAACTGATTGTATGTTAAAAAAAATGTTTAGGCACCGTCTCTCTAAACTGAGATGTATGGAGGATGGCATGTTGGATTCAGGTTAATGCTTCCAGCCAAGGAGAAGAGTCTGGACCTACATTTTACCAAACGTATTGGTTATTTTTGGTATCCCCCTTGCAAAAGGGGAATAGGTGCTCAGCATTTCTGACAGCATTTTAAGAAAACCAAGTTAGATATCCAAAACTGAGGCAGTGTGTTGTCATGATATTGACCATTTAATCGCCAAAAGTTTTTCAGTTGTAAGAATTGGTACCGACTGCAAGCACACACAAACATTGATCCAATTCTAATGAACACAATCCAAGTTACTTAGGAAATATACAGGAATTACTTAAGGGAATACACAGATAAACTATTAAAAACTACATCTCCATCACCTGTTGGGGAGGTTATAGAGGCATATCAACACAGCGGGACAATCTCCTCACCTACGATACTCATCCAAAGCATCAGAGGGGAGCAAGAACAAACACATCTTAGGAACATAAACTATTGTTTATCTTCTAATAAACAAGTCAAAGACTATCTAGTCTAGGATTAGTAGAATTTGACCATTATTCAATCAGTTATTTTTCAGTATGGATTTTTTTTGCTTTACTAGAACCTGGGAGGATTTTAGATTGGCTAGAGATTCCACGCAGATCAAACTGAAAAACAACCACCAAAAAACCTTCAGGGAAGTGGTTTTGAAGATGGACATCCCAAGTCCATGCTACTCTCAGTCTTCTCTGTCAAATGGGCTCATCTTGCCTGTAAAGTCCATTCAGTCTTGCATGAGAAATGCTCTAGCATAAACCTTTCAACATGAGTTCTTGTCCATGTAAAAAGATGCTGCACCCATTTGTCACAATAAGTCTCATTAAAAATAAAAAGGAAATAAGGCGGACCATGTTAAGCAAAACTGAGAAGTTATTTACTGCGATTTACTAAAAAAAGTCAGACAGAACACTACCATGGAGATGTGCTTGATGAGAGACCTGTTTGGCCTGTGGAAGTGCCACAGGCATTCAAGCTCTCAATTCAAAAAGCATCTCTTGTTATGTAATGCAATTAGCATATAATCAGCTTAATTATGAAAAAAGTTATTTGCACAGCTTAAACTAAATTCACTTGAGGACCCTCAACTGGAAGCAACGCAAAAGACAAAGCCGTTTTAATATAAATTTATTTGGCAGAAATAACAGCTGGAGGCAGAGCAGATGCCTGGATACTATCACTTTGGATCAACCACTGGATTTCACCTGAAATCACACTGTTTGATTCAAGGGCAGAGAAAACTATATTGAAGGACACTGCCCAATGTGTCAAGCTACAATTTGCCTAGTTATTTAAGAATTAAATTACATGATGAAAGCTCTTAGTAGCAAAAACATCAGGAACTACCTTGTGATGACTACAGAATGAATCTATAAAAGATATCACCTTTGCCAAAAGTTCTGCATATTTCTGCATGACATCCCATTTGTCTGTAAAGCAATCATGTGTAACGGACCACATATCACTGTGAAAACCATAGGAAAAAAAAGTGTCACAGCTAAGCTTGAAACAATGTGCAAAACACTTGCTTCAAGACACACCATGGAGGTGTTCAAAAGAAGATTAGACAAGCACCTGACTGGGGTTACTTGATCCCAGCGCTCTTTCCTGCCCAGAGCAGGGAGTTGGACTTGATGATCTAATAGGTCCCTTACAACCCTAGAAATCTGTGAAATTTATGAACCCTCACCTGAATCCAAATTCTTCATGAACAAGGTATTTAGCTTTATACCTTTCCTACCAAGTAAAGGAAGCATTACTGGTCACAGAAATATAGGCAGGGAAAGAAAGCTTGCCCAAATGCACTTCAGGAATCTGTGTCAAAGCCAGACATACACATATGACACTACCACAGTCCCACAAAGGTTCTTTACCTGCCCCACAGGTAATTGGGTATTCTTGTCCTTGATAGATTTCCGGTGTGCATTCATTCTACTACACAGTTGTTGTTTGGTCTCTTCTACATATTTTCCATCAGGGCATTTGGTGCATTGGATGAGATATATTACATTTCTGGAGGTGCAGCTATAACATCCAAGAATGCTGATGGTTCTGTTGTGGGGTGTAGTAATTGTGAGGGTGGTAGAGATATGTTGACAGGTTTTACATTTCTTGTCTTGGCATGATCTTGATCCATTTGGTGCATTTTGGGCTGTAGATGAGGCTAGTGAGGTTCAATGCTTGTTTAAAGGCTAGGACTGGTGGTTCTGGGCAGATCTCTTTAAGAACTGGCTCTTCTTCTAGTATGGGCTGCAATTTGTTTGAGGATTTTCCGTGTAGGTTCCAGGGAGGGTTGATGTGTCATAACCAGTGGTGTGCAATTCACAGGGGTTTTCCTTCTGTACCGCGGCAATTTTTCACATGGTATCCAGATGGCTCTTTCAAAAGTGTGATCCGTTTCTTTGGAGGGGTGCCCTTGTTGAATGAAAGCCTTTTTGAGATTTGTGAGGTGATAAGCCCGGGTGTTCTCCTCAGTGCAAATGTGGTAGTATTGGAGGGCTTGGCTGTATATTAGTTTTCTTGACGTGTTTAGGGTCATTGCTGGCTCTGTGCAGATATAGATGTTGGTCCGTGGATTTTGTGTATATTGTGGCCTGTATTTTACCATTCTGGATAGTGATCGTCGTGTCTAAAAAGGAGATGTTGGTGCTGGAGTATTCAAGAGATAGCCTGATGGAGTGGCAATGCTTGTTGAATTTCTGATGGAAATCAGAGATTGCAGGTTTTCAGTTCAAATTATGAGGATGTCATCGATAAGTATAGCAAGGGTTTGATGGTGCAGTCCTTGAGGAATTCTTCTTCCAGGTGGCTCATAAAAAGATTGGCATACTGTGGGGCCATTTTTGTGCCCATAGCTGTGGCTATGCTCTGGAGGAAGTGTTAGTAATTGAAAGTGAAGTTGTTGTGTGTGAGGATGAAGTGTATAAGGTCAGTAATATCTTTGGGTCTGTACTCAGAGTTGTTGTCTTGCTCCTGTAAGTATGTAAGGCAGGCTTGCATGCCATCCTGGTGTGGGATGTTAGTATATAAGCTGGTAACATCCATAGTGGCTAGGAGGGTGTTGCTGGGAAGGTGGTCTATGTTTTTAGAGCACAAGAATACCCAATTACTTGTGGGTGCACATTTCTCTCAAGAAAACCACTCTCTCTCTCTTCCCCCAATCTCTCAGTTCTAATCATCAAAGGGAATTTACAAAACACCTTTTGCAGATAAGCCTATGAACTTCACTTCATCAACCTATTGGATACAAAAAAAAAAAAAAAATCATGGACTAAATATAGACATTGTATTTATGACACATTATAACCTGCCTTACTTCCGACTCCCCAGGTACCTCTTCACTGTTTACCAGTTAGATTCATCCCCCCCTGCCCCAACCTCTCTCTCATCCATTGACTCATTAATTTACATAGTTACTGACTGGCTTTCTTCCATGGATACCAACTTCTGGTTTCTTTACTTTTCAGTCCAACCAGGAAGAGCACAGACCACCTATAGCTGCTTCCTCAGCCTGGTGAAGGGTGTTTGTGCCTGAAAGCTTGCAAAGAAGAATTTTTCCATCTGACTTGGTCTAATAAAAGACATCAGATTTATCCAAAGAACTGTGCCTGCCAATATCCTTAGACCAACACAGCTACAACCAATACCCACTATCATAGTCCAGCACTTTACCTAGCCACTAGTATTCCTCTTCTCCCTCTTGCGGAGCAAGTGGAGGGGATGGGAGGTGGGAAATAACATCAAGGCATTCTGTCAAAATTAATACACCTCCTTTTAAATGTGCCTTTTGCTGAAGAGCTGTGTGGATGTAGATAGAAATCATATTTAATTTTTTTTCCCTGAAAACTGTTTTAATTTGTTTTGTGATCAGGAGCCACAGAGAGCAAAGTTAGGCATGCCAGGTCTTGAAGTTGGCTTTTGGACAGTAGAGAATGGAACTTAGCAGTAGCAGTGCCCACACTTTAGTCACAGCTCTCTCCCGTTCACTCTTGAACTGCTTATTCTCGTTGGACATTTTGGCCAAAGCTGCACATAGATAAAGTGGCTACATAGCCAAGATGTTTACAAGCATTTGGGGAGGGAGAGGTTGCTTCCAGCTTCCACATCTGTTTCTGTCCTTCAAGGTCATACTTCAGAGGGTGGTTTTGAGAGCTTGGCATCAGTCTTGTTCTTAGGGGAAAAGTGCTGGCTTAGACTAGTCTCTCCAAGTTTGTAGCCCTCCAGACTTCTACCCAACCTGCAGGCTATTCACTCTTCCTCCTTACCAACTTTAGTTTGCCTGCAGGGCCATAGGTCAATTTTCACAGAGGTGAGGCAAAACCTTAATGCTGCCCCCTTCCTTGCCTCCAACAATGTTGAGGGCATGCACTGTGGAATCACCATGCTCTACTACAGAAAGTATCCAGAAACCTCTGAGTCAATGGTGGCACAGAGTTGGTGCCAGCTACACACATCTGTTTGTCCACGGGTTATCTGTTCTAAGTCAAAAAGGCTGGCAGGCAAGCAACTGGTCTTCAGACTACCCACCTTCAATTTACACCTCCAGTCAGCTACTCTCAGACTGGCCAAGTCTAATGACTGCTGCACTGTCCCTCTGGCTCTCTCAGCACAGCCATAGAAGGATTCATGCCCTAAAATCAGAGAGAGCTGCCCACTTCACCCAAGTGCCAGTAAGGAAAGTGTTTACAGAAACAGCAGAAACTTCTTGCCTCCAGAAAGGTAGCTTCCACAAGTGGTTTTCCTCATATCAAACTCCTAATCCCTCATGGGAGAACTGGTCTAAAGGCTCCTCTTCAAAATACTAAATTGTAGATATGTGCAGTCCTTACATTATAACATAAAGGCTTTCAGCTTGTGTGTGATAAAACGTGTACTGGGGCAGCACATCATTCTCTCAGCACTTGCTCTTTCTTCCAAAAATTATTCTACCCATATTTCAAATATGTTAGAAATGGGCCCTGAATAAGTAAGCAAACAAATAGTGGTAGCAGGCAACTACTTTATTGATGGCTCTGCCCTAAAGGTATCAGGTAATAGTGAGGAAAAAAAACACTTAGGAAAAATATTGAGAACTTGAGGTCAGTGAAGTGGGGGAAAGTGAAGGTGAAGGTTTTTGCTGAACAAAAGGAAGGACCATCAGGATATTTTCTGTCATTAATTTAGATCTAAGACACTGGTAGAAGGAAAGCCATAGGGGGCTATATACAGATTATTTTGGAAACCAAAAGTATTCTCTCAAGCTAGAGGTTTTAAATACCTGTACAAAAATAAGGCCAACCAGTTTAGGCAAAGATATGAATCAAGTGGAGAGGAGTAGTCATGTCTTGGCTGTTCAGTTGTACTATGGGCTTCCACAAAAGAGTTTAGCTACAAGTCCCACAAAGCTTTTTCACTGATTTAATGGGTGAGAGGGGAAGGGGGGAATGAATTGGGCTTTAAAGAAACTGAGACATTTTTAGACAAAGTTATTTTGTAACTATTAATTTAAAAACATGCAAGGCATTCAGATATCATGGCAATGGACTCCCAGGGTGCATCCACACATGCAGACACATGCGCTTGCAGCAGCTCAAATAGAAGTGACATAAATTTGAGCGGGGGTTATTTGCCCCAGTGCATGTGCCTGGACATGCACTTTGGTGTGGGGCAAATTGTGCCACTTAAGACAAAATAACCCTGCCTGGCTCCTCCCAAATTTTCAGCCAAGGGGAGCTAGAGCTGGCCCCAGCAGTATAAAAACCAGCCCTGTGCTAGCCCCAGCAGTATAAGACAGCTGCCCTGGCAAGTAGCTCAGAGCTACTTGCTCTCAGGAGCTTCTGGGGTGCAGCCAATTGGTACCTGGGGACACTACTCCTTGTGCCTGCTAGACTGCTGAAGTAGCCCTGAGAGTTCCCTGCACCCTCTACCCACTGCTGGGGTCTGGCAGTGGGGGCTGCTGCCTGGCTGTGACCTGCTCAACAGCATGTGGCCCCAAGGCTGCATGCCTGCCAGATCCAAATGGAGACTGCATGGCCATTAGAGGCATCTGCCCCTCTGGGCCAGCTGTCAGTGGGCTGTGGCTGCACAGTTGGCCTTTGTCTGGCACTACTGTCATGTGTGCCACCACCCGGCCATCTGGGCAGCTATCACCCAGAAGATGTTCTCAGTGTGGTGGCCTGCTTTGAACTGTCAAAGCATGTCCTCCTGGCCGCAAGTGACCAGGAGGTCAACCACCTCCAGCTGGGTCCCGGGTGTCAGCTCTGAGCTGGCTCCTCTGCTCGGGTCCTGCCACTTGCCTCACTAACACGAACCTTGGTGTTCCCTATTCAAAAACTACAAAGTCCCTGATAAAAAAAAATTCCAAGTCACTCTGTAAAATACCCCAAAATCCATGTTCTTCCAAAATTAGAACAAAAGACCACTATACAGAGATAGAGGGAGATCAGATCAGTTGGGCAATGTTTTATTGATATATTTACAATTTTAAAGCAATTTGGAAGCCTATCAGTGCCTCTATTATCGTAATAAAATACATTCTAAATAGCTATACAGTTTGGCATTTACTTCTGGTTTTTGCCATAGAAAAATCAGAGCTGCCCCTACACATCCTGATGAGCGAAGGGGGAAGTGCTGAGCAGCACTGATATGCCAGTGCCCTGCCCCTGCCCCTCACTCTCAATCCACAGCCTAACCTCCACCCCAGTCCCCTCACTCCTGACATGGGGTATGGTGGGGTGTGTGTGTATGGTGGGGGGGGGGGGGTTTTTGGGGGGGGGGGGGAACGGGACTGTGGGTGTGTGTGGGGGCAACTGTGGGGCTGCTCAGGAAGGGTGGATCCCCTACCTCATGCAGGGTACAGCTCCCCTCTCCCCCACCACAGCTCATGGACTGCCCCTGCACAGGGCCACAGCCCACCACAGCCCGGCTCAGCAGAGCACCGTGTGGCGCTGCACACTGTCAGGCAGCTGTGGCTCTCAATGGGGTTTGGCATTGCTCAGCCCGAGCAGCCCCAATCTTCCTGACAGTGCATGGTGCCACATGGTGCCCTGCCGAGCCAGGCTGCACCCCCGTGACACAGCAGCAGCTATGCGGGTGCTAGGTGGCTGGGGCTGATCCCTGTTGCCCCCCGCCGTGTGGGGGTGGCTGTGCCAAGAGGCACCTAGCAGCCCCGACAGCCACTGCTGCAGCTGGTGAGTGCTGGGACACTGGGGCCAGGCAGAGGAGTGATCAGGAAGCTGGGGCTGGGTGGGGGAGCAACTGGGGTGGCTGGGGGAGTGATCAGGGAGCTGGGGCCAGGTGGGGCCCTCCCCATAGTCCCCTGCCCCCTCCTGCAGCCACCCCCCGCACTTACTTGTCATGGAGCCCGAGTCCAGGTCCCTGCATGGGTGCTTGCCCTGCATGGGCAGGCAGCATGCTTCAGCACCAGGACAAGGGCCAGCCATAAAGACTGAGCCTCCAGTTGCCTCAGAGCATGGTCCAGGACCGTGCCCTGCCCTGCTTTTTTCCCCACAGGGTATTTTTTGGCACCTAGATATCCAGGTATCAAATTCTGTTCCCACGTTGCACATTTGCAGTGCAGGGAATGTATTTTTGATCCCAGCATACATCTTGCAGTGTCTCAAAGGGGTTTGAGACGCTGCAAGAAGCATGTGCAGGCTTATGTGGATGTGCCCCCCAGAATACATATGTATCATACAGAAAATATAAAACTCATCACAAATGTTATACATAGAAGACAGCTTTTGGATTACTGTCTGCAAGACTGAAGTGCAATAAAACTCAATAAGCAAAAAAAACATTATTTCTACTTCCAAAGTATCAATGAAAGAAATGCAGGAATCAAGTATATTTACAAGGCAAAGCCTGTCATTTATCTCGTGTGGGAAGGGCCCAACTTTTCCTCCTCCCTATTGCTGTAGTATGATATCTTTAATAAGTGCAGCCTAAACTATGACTTTAACCTTAGCCAAGTATTTGTGATATACTGGGAACTGTGTTTGTTTGAGCAAATATGCTGATTCTTGAATCTCTTGGTTAATTCCAAGTGAGCAAAGGCTGCTGAGAATTATTACCTACTCCACTAAGGTAGGCAACCAAAGACAAAGTGAGGAACAGAACCATCTTTATTGCAGAGATGAAAAGATATATTTGCATTATGGCAGCCAATGATGAAGTTCAGTGATCAGTGTTTTGCAGAGTCATCTAAGTTAGGGAAGACATTTTGCACAGACAAAAAAATGTAATATCCTCTCTGACAAACACAATTGTTTAATAACAGTTAATTATACAAATGTTCCTTCATACAAAGAGAAAGATGTAAAGTGACATGTTACATTTTTATCATTGCAGTCCTGTTGAAGAAAGAAAATAATAAAAATCATATACATTAATGGAAGTTGCATCTCCTCAATCACAGAACTGATGCAACAAAATTAAAAGTTAATCAATGCTTAAACTTAAGTATTGTATGGAGAACTTAAGGAGGAAAGGACAAAGCAGTTCCTAGATCTTAACCAGTGAAAATACAATTAATAAATAGGAGTAATAGTTAAGGAAACTACATTTGACACGCACATAAAACAAAATTAAATTTGAATCCAACAAGTAGTTCACTATTAGTTACCAATACCAAAAACTGCAGGACAACGTAATGGGAAAACAGTTAAGAACTTATTGCTCTGTTTTAATTAAATTCAAGACCGGTATGTTTTTCATGCACCAGTTTTTGAGACTAGATGATCAACTTGAGAGTTGCTCATGATAATTTCAGAGGAGTTTTCTACGCAATAAAAGTTCTGACTGAGATGCAATTGCTATTAACTGATAATTTCTTGAATGTTCTATAGCTATTTTTTGCTTTAAAGATACGCACCCAAGATTCAGGTGTTTAAGTTTCTGAAGGCTGCTAATTTGAGTAGGAAGGTCCTCAATCTGGTTGTTGAAAAAGTTTAGCACTTCTAAATTCTTCAGGTCTGCAATATTTGGTGGTACAGCTGCAAAAAGATAAAAAAAAATAAAGGTGCTTGCTTCATTATGGGAGAAACTCGTTTTAGCTAGACTAATCTCTGTAATCACAGTCAAGTGAGCACTCCTCCAAGAGGGTAGAGCTAAGGGGCTCTGGTCCCCAGTCTCAACACTGCTGATGTATTGTATCTAATCTCTTCAATGCAAGAAGTATAAGTAGTTCTGTGGCCTAGGACAACGCTTAAGTGATGCCAAAATACAAAACAATATTTCTACACACCAGTGCTCTCTGATGGCCTGTTGGTGCCTCTGTTTGAAATCTACTTTCAAAGCCACAGGTGACACAAACCACTTTGGCTTCATCAGAACAAAAGATGTTATTAGAAATTTTAAATACTTTGAGTAAAGAGTGCCATTGTGGAGCTGGTGACTACGCTATGATCCCCAGCACACATTCATTTAATGGCATAATGCAATCTGATCTCTATTCCCAATGACTGAGTCTCCTACTCTGCCACACATGCATGGCAGGAGTGCGATTGGCAGGACCAGAGATTTAATACCAATTGCATCATTACTATTTACCAGTGCAGGGGGAGCCCAGGATCATAATCCTGGGCTTCCCCATCCACTGACAAATTAAAAGTTGTGTCCAAAGCCCTCTACATGGGACCAACAATCAACTGATTGTTGGCCCTAGGGTTTCATGGTCTTCCCCCCATGAGAACCCACACCTGGCATCCCATCACCCCTGTGGGGAGAGGTGGGGAAAGAATGGGACACACAACTGAGGTATCACAGCCCTCAGGACCCACTTGGGGTGACAGGGTGCAAATAAACAGACCAAAAAAACCCAACAGATGCAGCAGCTATGAGCCAGCTGCACTGCAGCTGCCTAAGGCACAGGGCTACCCTATTACACCTTTGATACCACACTGCACATGCTGGCAGCTCAAAAATTTACCATAAAGTTCTGGGTCACTTCACTACAGTCAAATCAGAAGAATGGATAGTTTGGGTACTCAAAGCTAAATGACAGTTTTATTAAACGTCTGAGATGGCAACAATGAAACAAAAATCCATTCTGAGTGATGGTCTATTCTGCCTCCTGTTTAAATAATCTGAGTAGTCATCCATTTAATATTCAACTAAATCACGACAATTTAAGTTCAGCCCTAAATGATGAACTGCTCAGCCAAGCCAGTTTTTGATTTGCCTCCCATGAGTAAAGCATTGTAATCAATACACACAAAAAAGGTTACATCAGATTAGCAACAGATCAATACCTGGTTATTATTGAGAAATATGAAAGGGCTATTCTGAAGCACAATATGAATATGCTCATGCAGATAAAAGGTTAAAAAGCTATACAGATTTAAGTCTCTTCTCTATGGGCTTAAGACTAAAATTCAAGCACACAGATGAAGTTTACACAAGAACCAGAGAAAAAGGGGTGACTAATCGCTTGCCCTGCAGCTTGTGACTCGTCTGATGTTCACCACTGTACAGGGTCAACCTTGACATCAGGATGAGTGGAGAGCAGGTTTAAAATAATTATAAAGCCCTTGATGCCTTGATTTGCCTTTATACTTGGCATGAGGCAATCCTCCTCCAGCCTAAAAATGAGATTTTTACATAGCAGAACATAACAGTGCCACATGATTATAAGCACAATTACATTGCTCACAATAATAGAATCCTAACAAATATCGTAATTATAATTAACACCCTGGTAATGGCTACATTCATGGGAGGACACACTTATCATGCTTTGTAAAAGAAATCATGAAAACAGGTCAAAATATACATATCAAAATATAACAACACAAAACTCTTACTAGTATATTTAATCCACCCCTACAAGCATATCCCATAGGGTCAACAGGAATTATACAGGTGTTTAGAGAGGCAAATGCCCTTTTACTTTTTTGCTTTTAACTTGCTATGAAATTTCAAATAAAAGGTTAGTGATTTTTCAATGCTTTATAATACAAATGTTCTAAACATTAGAATACGGCAACGGAGCCATTATTATAATGTCTTTTACCATTCCTTTTTAACTCAATCTTTTTGTTGAATATTGAGATGATGGGTTGATACCAATGGTGATTTTTATAATCAGGGATATCTATACTTGCACAGGATTAGGAAGCAGAAGTACTACAAAATAATAGCTTCAATTTAGCTACAAACCAAGAATAATGCAGACAGACAGAATGCAACCCTACCAAAGTTGCACTGCTGATGCAATTAAACCCTGGTCTGAAGGTATTGGTCTTTTTGACAGGATGAGAGATTATTTCACTTTCCTAGATAAATCAGTCCAATTTAACACCACAAATTATGCTAAAAGTGATTTAGGTCTCGGTTATGGGGACACTGAAACATTAACCCTACATTCAGGATCCTGAACTTCTTCTAACCAGCCAAATCTATTCTGAACTATTTACAAAGAATAGCAGATTCTTGAGAATTACCATCAATATAATCTGTAATCAGTTAGCAATACAAAAAACAAAACAAAGAACAGAAAAGGAGACAAAAACCAACCCCCTCCCCCCCCCTTCCCAAAAATACAAAAACCCCCCAAAAAAGCAAAAGACCTCTCTTCCACAGCACTCTGAAAATTCCCTGAATCGGTCAGTCTTGTAAAGTTAACTTTAAAAGAAAAAATAATGGGACCATCTTAGCCTCCTAAGTCAACAGCTTCACTGCTTCCAAATAAAATTCCTCTTTTAGTTCTGTCAGCAAGGGATAGGTTATAGTTTAGTCCTCGAGGAAGAACAGATCCAATTTGCTTTCATCACTAATTTCCTATACATCCACATACAAATGGGTAGTGTTTTTTTCTAAAAATCTGACCCAAACAAGTGAAAGATATAATGTTTCTAGATTTTGAAACCAACCCCCTCCACCCCCAAAAACAAAACATTACAAAACTTAGGCACTGCCTTTTGTATCTCATAATTAAGAACCATTAAAAATCTGCTTTCATGAGTGGGAAGGCAACAAAGCCAATAGGACCAACTAGTACTGGGGAAGATGATGGCCAAAAATCCACATAGGACAGAAGAGAGTCACAGAGTAAGACTTCTGAAGTGGGAACTTTGTTTATGTAGCACCCACAGGTTACAAATACAAATGAACTTAGCCAGCAGGACAGCATAAGAAGCATTAAGTTCTGTTTAGCTGGTTCCCGTCCAGAACATCAGCAGCCACTGAAGTTGAAACAGATTTTAGGGGTTTTTGACTAGGGTAGCATTTTTAGGGTCCCCAATGAAAAATAGAAATTTGTGTAGCTGCACAGTACTCCCATATTGAAATATATTTGTACAGTTACAGCAAATTGGATTTTATATTGCAAATCATATTTAAGACCCAGATATGCTTTATTTCCAAACACTTCCTCGCAGACCATTTTGAAAGCTGCCTGGATACGCTGATAGTGGAAAAGAACTAATATCCTAGCAACAGATTCAGATTAAATGCTATTCCTGTGGCTGCTGACAAAGGCACAACAGACCTTTGGTGTTTAGCTTGTGCCTAGATTAATTTGGGAGAAAACTTTTCCACAGTAGCAAGTTTTAGTCTCAGCTTCTTCAAGAGATGCCCATGGAACATAAAGACATATTTTGCCTCCAAACTTAGGAATCTTTAGCCTGCAAACTAGCTTTACACCAGGACAGAATTCGTAGACTAGAAAAGGCCACAATTATTGTTCAATGATAGCCTAGGAGGGATGAAGGGACATACTGCAATAGTTTACTTGGAGCTGCCTGTATCAGGCACCAGGTTCTTCACTGAAATTCCACAATTATATCCTGACATAGCCCCCCAGTCACATAGTAAATAGTGGAATTAACACTGAGAAAGACCTAACAATTTATATACAGGGGATGCAGAGTTCCATTCAAATCATCCTCTTACATGATGAGCTGAGAGTGAACTGCCAGAGTCCTGGTTACATTCGGCCCACATATTTACAACAAGATCCATGATGTTTTTAATAATCCTGTTATGAACATCTGCTGCCCAGTGTCATTAACAAGAACTAGAACTCCTCCTAAGCAAATACTGACACTATTAGGCAGCCCGCTGTCTCTGCATCCTCCTGGAGTTTCAGGTATGCCATGCTGTGAGGGTCCATTCAGAAAAAGTGAGAACAACAGAAGAAACCAGAAGCAAGAGCAAGATTTCTTTCTATCAAGAACCTCATTCAATTGCTCAGTATCCCAGCCATTACATGCTGTCACCACTTATAGATTCTCCTTTTGGTTTTCTTTAAGACTCCAAAAGAACAAAGTGATTTTTCTTCAAGTCAGGCAGTTTCTACTACGTCTCAGGTTTAGCTCCATTCTATCAGAAGACAGACCAGAACCAAGCAATACAGAAGCACCAGCTCAAAAGCTCGTTTCACAGTTGTTCAAATACCTCTGCCAAGAATCTAAAGTAACCCAGAGGATACCAGCATGAGCCAATGCCAAAACAGCCTCCATACTTTGAGAAATTTGAAATGGGCTTCCAAGGGAGGTGGTACTCTCCCCTACCTCAGAGTTAAGAGAAGGCTGGATAGGCATCTGGCTGGGGTCATCTGACCCCAGCGCTCTTTCCTGCCTAGGCAGGGGGTCAGACCTGATGATCTCTTGAGGTCCCTTCTGACCCTAGCATCTATGAATCTGTGACAACTGGCTGACCTAGAAGAGCACGTTCAATACAGAGTTCGGGAACAGTCATTTGAGGCTAAATAAACTCTTTGGATGTACAGAATAGTAACCCAAAACCTCTACACTGGTATTGTTCTCTAGCTGAGTTTAAAAAGAAACTAGACAAAAAGGTCAAATACTTCTGCCTATTAAGTATGAATGACTGCTTAATACAGTGCATCATTCATTGATGACATTCTAGTAATGATATATTTGAATCAGTGTCCATACTTGATCTGCATACTAAGGGATCATTTTCAAATGTTATATCCAGAAACATAAATAAGAGCCTTGGATAATCAAACAAACTTGTTTTTGCCTTCTGC